CAGTACCCCCAGCAGCTCCAGCACCTCCAGCAGCTCCAGAAGCTCCAGCAGCAGAACCGACACCTCCAGGCCCAGGGTCTCCAACCCCAGTGCCTCCAGCAGCAGCACCCCCAGAACCAGTACCTCCAGTCCCAGGGTCTCCAGCCTCCACGTCTCCAGCAGCAGCACCCCCAGAACTAGCACCTCCAGTCCCAGGGTCTCCAGCCTCCACGTCTCCAGCAGCAGCACCCCCAGAACCAGCACCTCCAGTCCCAGGGTCTCCAGCCTCGGTGTCTCCAGCAGCAGCACCTCCAGACGCAGCACCCCCAGCCCCAGCAGCTCCAGTACCTCCAGTACGAGCACCTCCGGGACCAGCGACTCCAGCACCTCCAGTAGAAACAGTACCAGCACCACTCCTAGCGCCAGGGACGGCAGCAGAAGTACCTCCAGCAGTAGAGCCCCGGGCTCCAGCAGCGCGACCCTGATGGCGACCGTACCAGTCGTGCAGCTGCTGCGAGGTGAGTGGCACACGTGGACGAAGGCGGCTACTCCAAGGAGACCGCGCAACAGCAGACTCTGAACCCTCAGCGCCAGCACCCTCAGCAGCTCCAGCGCCACCAGCACCAGGACCTCCAGCAGCTCCAGAACCTCCAGCGCTAGCACCCTCAGCAGCCCCAGAACCACCAGCTCCAGCACCTCCAGACCCCTCACACTCAGGCTCAGCACCTCCAGGCTCGACACCCTCAAGCTCCGCACCCCCAGGCTCCGCACCCCCAGGCTCAGCACCCCCAGACTCAGCACCCCCAGAAGTAGCACCCCGAGCAGGACCACCCTCAGCAGGACCTGAGTCACCAGTGACCTCAACCGGCGCAGGGAAGGGAGGAGGGTCTACCTGAGACACACCTGAGGGAGCAGGACCTGGAGCGGGGAGAGGGTCGACCTGGGGAGCACCTGGAGCGAGGAAGAGCGGCGGGGGAGGGAGAGGGGCAGTGCGGTAGGGGAAGAGACGGTAAAAGGGAACCGACTCGTCGAACGTGACGTCCTGAGACGCAAAGACACGGCGCGAGGTGGGGTGGTAAAACTGCCAACCAGGCGCGTCAGGGACAAAGCCAAGGAAGACACAGGGAACTGCACGGGCGGAGAGCTTGTCCGCGGTGGTATCGCAGACAAAGGCACGAGCACCCCAGACCCGGAAACGCGACGCATCGCCAACCTTCCCCGTCCACAGCAGTGTGGGCGAGGTCTCCGGCAGGGAGACACGGGGCCAGAGGTTGAGCTGATGCGTGGCGTACCGGACCGCAAACGGCCACAGAAAATGGGGGGCAGCCGCATGGATCATGGAGGTACGAGCGACCTCCATGACTAAGCCAATGCGGCGCTCAGCAACCCCATTCTGCTGCGGAGAGTCCGGAAGCGTGAACGACTGGGTGATGCCGTGCTCCGCACAGAAGGCTGCCAAGAGGTCGGAGGAGAACTCACCACCTCTGTCAGAGTGCAGACGCAGGACGGGAAACTCCGTCCCGAACCGCTCGCGGAGCTGGAGACGGGCAGCGCGGATCCAAGGGATCAAAACAGCAGGGACCTCCCCCTTGCTGCGCAGGGGAAAGACCGTGGTGTAACGCGTGTAGTCGTCAACAACCAGCAGGAAGTACCGCTCGTGGCCCTGTCCACGGACGCGGGCTGGGCCCCACACGTCCAGGTGGAGAGTCTGCAGGGGAGCCTCTGTGGGAGGGAACGAGGAGGAGTGAGGAGCGGCGCGCTGCCGCCCCTCGACGCAAGGAATGCAGGGCGGCGCAAGCGAGGGAGGCAGGGCAGGCAAAGACCTGGGCAGACCAGAAACCAGGAAGCGAGAGTGCATGCCACGGCTGCACCGAGGGGTGACCAAGGCGGTGGTGCCACAGGAGGGTCTGGTGCGACAAAGCGCGACACTCGCAGGGGGCCGTCGGCTGACCGGACGCAGACGCAGACGCAGCTACCTGAGCGGACGCAGTGGTCAGGGTGTACAGACTCGAGCCAGGCGCACGGGAAAACGTGGCCAGGTGTCGGCCGGTCCGAGCACACGTACAGTGAGTCACCCGCTGACTCGCAGGAGTGAACTGGTGCACCCCCTGATCCTGGAGGTCAGCTCCACTCACCAAGTTCGTAGAGAACGAGGGGAGGTAAAGACCTGACAGCAAGCCAGACGGGGCGGCCGGACACGGCAGAACCGTGGAGTAGTGGGCAAGGACTGGACCCCCAGAGGGGTCCGCCAGGGAGACTGGAACCGGCCGACTAAGCGGCGTGAGTGTGGTGCAGTCGCGAAAGAAGGAGCGGGAGGCACCTGAGTCAAGCGTGAAGGTGTACAAGGCCGCAGTAGGCGCAGAACTAGAGAGAGCAGACCCACCAGCACCTGGAGCAGGAAACGTACCGGCACCTAGAGCAGCAGCCTCACCAGCACCCAGAGGAGGAGACACACGAGCACCTAGGGCAGCAGCCTCACCAGTACCGGGAGCAGCAGGTGCTATACCAGGGTCAGGCGGGACGCACAGGTAACAGGCACGGTCAACACTAGTAGGCAATGCATACATGGCAGTGAGAATAGCATCATAGTCAGGAGCAAAGATATCTACCCTCTGTCCAAGCAGCTCCAGCCAGTCGGGGAGCTCAGCCTCGTCGCCAAACACTGTACGCCAGGCGTCGCTCAGGCGGGCGAAGCAGCGGGACTGTGTGTGACCAAGCGTCCCGCAAGGCTGACCAGTCCTATCACCTGTGCGAAGGACGTACTGGCAGCGAACTGTACGCGTAGACCTGCTACACTGAGCGTACCACTCGTGGAGCTGCCGGGACGTAAGTGTCTCGCGCGGACGCCGCTGCAGCTGCAGCTGGCCACTGCCAGTCGCTCCCAACGGACCAGCTCCAGGGGGACAGCTACGACTGCTACCGCGACAACCCCAGCTAGTATACCACTCACTAAGCTGCTGGGGCGTGAGAGACTCACGTGAACGTCGCTGGGGCTGCATCTGGCCACCGGCCAGTAGCAGTAGCAGCAGCAGTAGCGCGGGCAGGGCAGGCGCGGCAGGCCGACAGGCAGGCAGGTAGGCAGGCAGGCCGGCAGGCAGGCAAGCAGACAGGCAGGCCGGCAGGCAGGCAAGCAGACAGGCAGGCCGGCAGGCTGGCAGGCAGGCAGACAGGCAGGCAGACAGGCAGGCAGGTAGGCAGGCAGGCCGGCAGGCAGGCAAGCAGACAGGCAGGCCGGCAGGCTGGCAGGCAGGCAGACAGGCAGGCCGGCAGGCAGGTAGGCAGGCAGGCAGGCAGGCAGGCCGGCAGGCAGGCAAGCAGACAGGCAGGCCGGCAGGCAGGCAGGCAGGCAGGCCGGCAGGCAGGCAAGCAGACAGGCAGGCCGGCAGGCAGGCGCTCACCAAAGGCTGGAAGAGCAGGCGCTCGCCGGGCGAGCAGGGCCGGCGCTCAACGGTCGGCGGCGTAGTAGGCGCACGACAGCGGCGACGTCGGGGCCGCAACACCCGGTGCAGAGTAGGGCCGAAGCAGCTGCAGGCGGGACCGCTTCAGCGGCAGGTCGGGGCCGTGGCAGCTGCAGAGCGGGGCCGTATCAGCGGCAGGTCGGGGCCGAGGCAGAGGGACGCGCGCGGCTCGGCGCGGGCTGCGCTGACAGCGCGCTGGGCTGCTGCAGGCCGCGCGCGGCCGCGTTAGGTAGTGGCGAGCCGCGCGCGGCTCGGCGCGGGCTGCTGCGAGCCGCGCGCGGGCTGCAGCGGGCGGCGCGCGGGCCTCGCGAGGCAGGAGTAGGCCCGCGCGCGGCGCTACGCGGGCTGCGTGGGCTCGGCGCGGGCTGCGCGCGGCTGCAGCGGGCTGCGCGCGGCTCGGTGCGGGCTGCGCGCGGCTGCAGCGGGCTGCGCGCGGCTCAGTACGGGCTGCGCGCGGCTGCAGCGGGCTGCGCGCGGCTCGGTGCGGGCTGCGCGCGGCTGCAGCGGGCTGCGCGCGGCTCGGTGCGGGCTGCGCGCGGCTCGGTGCGGGCTGCGCGCGGCTGCAGCGGGCTGCGCGCGGCTCTGTGCGGGCTGCGCGCGGCTGCAGGGGGCTGCGCGCGGCTCTGTGTGGGCTGCACGGGCTCAGTGGGGGCAGCGCGCGGTAGCAACGGGCTGCGCGCGGCTCGGTGCGGGCTGCGCAGGCCTGGAGGGCGTGTAGGGGCGGCGCGCGGGCCTTACGGGCCTTTAGGGGCAGCGCGCTGGCCTAGGGCAGCAGGAGGCAGCGCTAGGGCTGCTGGACGGCTCGCGTAGTGCAGCACGTCACAAGGCAAGGCAAGGCAGGCAGGTACGTGGGGTAGCGCGGTAACCGCAGTGGTAGGTGGGCCCGAAAAAAAAAGCGGTCCTACGGACCTTAGTGCTCTGAAACCATGTTAGAATCTGACAGCAGGAATGAATGCATTGATCAAGAGTTGGGTACATAAACTAACCCTAACATTGGGTTGTACCCCATATGGGCTACCCCACTAGCAGCCTACACAAACACAATATGCATATTTGACACGCCCACGTCGCTTCCGTCGCCCACGTCGCTCCCGTCGCACACGTCGTTCCCGTCGCCCATGTCGCTCCCGTCGCCCACGTCGCTCCTTGTCGCCCACGTCGCTCCTTGTCGCCCACGTCGCTCCCGTCGCCCACGTCGCTCCCGTCGCCCACGTCGCTCCCGTCGCCCACGTTGCTCCCATCGCCCACGTCGCTCCCGTCGCCCACGTCGCTCCCGTCGCCCACGTCGCTCCCGTCGCTCTCTTCCCTTAGCTTCCCTTCCCTACGCGCAGGTTCCCCCCTTCCCTTCGAACAGTTTCCCCTTCATATTGCTCACTCACACCCACCCACCGCTCACTCACACCCACCCACCGCTCACTCACACCCACCGCTCGCTCCCTTCCCTCTATGCCTCACTTCCCCCTCAAGTCTCCCATTCCCTTCCCACGCCCTCCGTCCCTCTTCCCCCACTCTCAGCCGCATGCCTTCCTTTCTTCACCGCTCCTCTCCTCCCATCCCTCTCCGATGTCTCCCTTCCCTCCGTCTCACTTCCCTTTTTCCCCCATCGGTTCCCCCTCCCACTCCTCCCTTGCCTCTCGTCTCCCTTCCTCTCTTCTCCCTCTGCCCCTACTCTCCCGTCGCTTCTCGCCCTTATCCCCGCACACGTCCTTCTCCCTTCCCTCCCTTCTCTCACTGAACCCCCTCTTCCCTCCAGTCCCCGCTTTTTCCATTTCCTCTCATTTCCTCCCTTCCCCCTCTCAGCCCCTCCCCCCCTCCCTCTCAGCCCCTCTCCTCCTTTCCCCATCAGCTCTCCTCCTTTCCCCATCAGCTCTCCTCCTTTCCTCTCAGCCCCTCTCCTCCTTTCCCTCTCAGCCTCTCTCCTCCTTTCCCTCTCAGCCCCTCTCCTCCTTATCCTCTCAGCCCCTCTCCTCCGTTCCCTCTCAGCCCCTCTCCTCCTTTCCCTCTCAGCCCCTCTCCTCCTTTCTCTCTCAGCCCCTCTCCTCCTTTCCCTCTCAGCCTCTCTCCTCCTTTCCCTCTCAGCCCCTCTCCTCCTTATCCTCTCAGCCTCTCTCCTCCTTTCCCTCTCAGCCCCTCTCCTCCTTTCTCTCTCAGCCCCTCTCCTCCTTTCCCTCTCAGCCCCTCCCCCCCTCCCTCTCAGCCCCTCTCCTCCTTTCCCCATCAGCTCTCCTCCTTTCCTCTCAGCCCCTCTCCTCCTTTCCCTCTCAGCCTCTCTCCTCCTTTCCCTCTCAGCCCCTCTCCTCCTTTCTCTCTCAGCCCCTCTCCTGCTTTCCCTCTCAGCCCCTCTCCTCTGTTCCCTCTCAGCCCCTCTCCTCCTTTCCCTCTCAGCCCCTCTCCTCCTTTCTCTCTCAGCCCCTCTCCTCCTTTCCCTCTCAGCCTCTCTCCTCCTTTCCCTCTCAGCCTCTCTCCTCCTTTCCCTCTCAGCCCCTCTCCTCCTTTCCCTCTCAGCCCCTATCCTCCTTTCTCTCTCAGCCCCTCTCCTCCTTTTTCTCTCAAGCAGCCTCTCTCTTGTAGGCTGCTTGTCCGTCAGTATCTTGTATGCTTCCCTGCTACTCAGCAATCTCACATCTTATTTTCTGGTTTGTGTTTGTACAGGTCCGCTATGTATCAGTGCTGGTGCTGTGGTGATGTGTTGACTGGCAGCTCGATAGTACTAATGACCCGCCATGCAATGTTTGGATGCTGGATGCTCTGTTATATTACAGACTTTGAGCCGAGGAGCAGCCATGCACATGACCACTACAAAAAAGTGCAACAAAGTTCACAGTTTATTTTTGACACAAAGAAGACAGCTAGGAAATGAAATGTTTTTTTCCACTTCTTCTTTGCTACACTGCATGCAACTTGGCCTGTGGTGCTGAGAGCCTGGGACATGCACACTGCGTGGTTGGAGATGGGGGTGAGTGAAAGGGGGAACAGACTGAGCAGCGGAAGAGAGAGTGAACAGGAAGAAACAGAGCGAGCAGGGGGGGAGAGAATGAGCAGGGGGTTCAGAGAATGAGCAGGGGGGACTGAATGAGCAGGGGGGAGGAGAATGAGCAGGGGGGGAGAGAATGAGCAGGGGGGAAGAGAATGAGCAGGGGGGAAGAGAATGAGAAGGGGGGGAGAGAATGAGCAGGGGGGAAGAGAATGAGCAGGGGGGAGAGAATGAGCAGGGGGGAAGAGAATGAGCAGGGGGGGAGAGAATGAGCAGGGGGGAAGAGAATGAGCAGGGGGGGAGAGAATGAGCAGGGGGGAAGAGAATGAGGAGGGGGGAAGAGAATGAGCAGGGGGGAAGAGAATGAGCAGGGAGGAAGAGAATGAGCAGGGGAAAGAGAATGAGCAGGGGGGAAGAGAATGAGCAGGGGGGAAGAGAATGAGCGGGGGGGAAGAGAATGAGCAGGGGGGAAGAGAATGAGCAGGGGGGAAGAGAATGGGCAGGGGAAACAGAGTGACCCAGGTAAATAAGGATGGAAAGGTGAGCAGAATGAAGGGGGGGGGGGGGGGAGGTGAAAGGGAGTTAGTTACGCTGGGAAGCTAGTAGGGAGGGAGGAAGGAAGGGACGAAGAGTTATTCTCCTGCATGGGAGGGGGACGGGAGGGGGATGAGATGGGGATGGGAGGGGGAAGTGAGGGCGACGGGAGGGGGATGGGAGGGGGATGGGAGGGGGATGGGAGGGGGACGGGAGGGGGAAGTGAGGGCGACGGGAGGGGGATGGGAGAGGGATGGGAGGGCGATGGGAGGGCGATGGGAGGGCGATGGGAGGGCGATGGGAGGGCGATGGGAGGGCGATGGGAGGGCGATGGGAGGGCGATGGGAGGGCGATGGGAGGGCGATGGGAGGGCGATGGGAGGGCGATGGGAGGGCGATGGGAGGGCGATGGGAGGGCGATGGGAGGGCGATGGGAGGGCGATGGGAGGGGGAAGCGAGCGCGACGGGAGGGGGAAGCGAGGACGATGGGCGGGGGAAACGAGGGCGATGGGCGGGGGAAGCGAGCGCGATGGGCGGGGGAAGCGAGGACGATGGGCGGGGGAAACGAGGGCGACGGGAGGGGGAAGCGAGGGCGATGGGCGGGGGAAGCGAGCGCGATGGGCGGGGGAAGCGAGGACGATGGGCGGGGGAAACGAGGGCGACGGGAGGGGGAAGCGAGGGCGACGGGAGGGGGAAGCGAGGGCGATGGGCGGGGGAAGCGAGCGCGATGGGCGGGGGAAACGAGGGCGACGGGAGGGGGAAGCGAGGGCGATGGGCGGGGGAAGCGAGCGCGATGGGCGGGGGAAGCGAGGACGATGGGCGGGGGAAACGAGGGCGATGGGCGGGGGAAGCGAGCGCGATGGGCGGGGGAAGCGAGGACGATGGGCGGGGGAAACGAGGGCGACGGGAGGGGGAAGCGAGGGCGATGGGCGGGGGAAGCGAGCGCGATGGGCCGGGGAAGCGAGGGGGATGGGCGGGGGAAGCAAGGGCGATGGGCCGGGGAAGCGAGGGGGATGGGCGGGGGAAGCAAGGGCGATGGGCGGGGGAAGCTGTGGCGACGGACGGTGGATGCGAGAGATCGACGGACGGGGGAAGCGAGGTCGACAACGCTCTAATTTCTCATCTCGTGCCGCGCAATATCTCCGTGCTTCACACTCGCATTCGCGCCACATTCCCTCCCTCGGTCCACAGATTCCTCTCCATTCCGGCATAAAAGCATATATTCTCACATGTTATGCCTAATTACTTTACTCTGGATACTTGCTACTGGCCTAACACCGATGCTCTAACTATTTGGAAATACGCACGCTTTTCTCAGCCTGCTCCAAGAGTGCGCTTGCGGACATGGCGATAATCTGGTTTGTGAGCCACGTGGGGGTGGTTGGGTTTGGTTTTGTTGTTAGTGTTTGTTCAAGTTTGGGGAAGTCGAAATTGAAGTTGCGATACAGTGTAGAGCATTCCGCCTTCGCCACCTTCCTCCGGCGAATTTTTCTCTCGTCAACCTTCGCGCAACCTTTTTCAAGTTCAGTATTTATGAACCTTGCCATTCTAGACGCGGGCTTTAATAGTACTGGTAAGTGTTAATTTATATTGCATATCTTATAACTGCCTGCAGCTTGCTAGTGTATTAGATTAGTTATTAGAACCAACTGCTGGTGGTGCACCCTTTCCCTTTTCCCTTTCCCTTTCCTATATCTTGTAACATCCTTTCTAGTGCAACCCCTCTTCCCTTTTTCCAAACCTCTCGATCTCCTAAGTTTTGCTCCTAAGCCTAAGTATGGCTCCTAAGCTAATCTCCTAGCTTTGACATGGCATTAGAGCAGGAAATTTCCTTGGACCTCAGAATTATGGGCCCACCAGTCGCGCAACCCGTTAGCACACCGCGTGCTGGCTGCCCGTCCCGCAATGCTCGCCCCGTCGCGCTCTGCCCGTGGCCAGCGTGCCAGCGAGCCGTGGCGAGCGCGCCAGCGACGGTCGCCAACGGCGGTCGCCAGCGCCAGCGCGGACGCCAGCGCCAACGGCCGTCGCCAGCGCCAGCGCGGACGCCAACGCCAACTGCCGGCGCCAGCGCCAACGCCAACGCCAACGGCGGGCGCCAGCTCTTGCGCCAACGGCGGGCGCCAGCGCCAGCGCCAAAGCGGACGCCAGCGCGAACGGCGGTCGCCAGCGCCAGCGCGGACGCCAGCGCCAACGGCGGGCGCCAGCGCCAACGGCGAGCGCCAGCGCCAGCGCCAGCACCAACGGCGGACGCCAGCGCCCAGCGCCAGTACTTCCGCCAGCGCCAGCACATGGGCGGGTGGGGGATGAGGGGGCGGCGGGGGTGACCAGCTCCTTGCTCTCTCCCTGCAGCGCCTGTCGCTGTAGGGGGGGGGGAGGAGGTTGAGGGGGTGGCGGGAGAGCTTCTGCCGCGCCAGCCGCCTCCTCTCCTCTCGTCTCCTCTCTCCTCTGCTCCAGCCGCCCCTTCTCTCCTCTCCTCTCCTCCAGCCGCCTCCTCCTCCGCTTGTTTGCTCCTCCAGCCGCTTCTCCTCGGCTCTCCGCCTGTGCGCCACCACCGGCTTCCTCCTCCTATCCAACCGTTGGTGTGTAACACCGGCAGCCTACGCCCTCCAAATTAGCCCTCCGCCCTCCGTTCTGGCAGTCAGAGGTGCTGCCGATCAGCCACCGCTGTTTCTGTGCGTATCCCAGCTACAGCAACTGCTCTTCAGGCGACCTGCTACCAGACACCACTAGCTATAGCCGTAGGCAGTTACGGGGGTGTGCTAATTTATATTGCATATCTTATAACTGCCTGCAGCTTGCTAGTGTATTAGATTAGTTATTATAACCAACTGCTGGTGGTGCACCCTTTTCCTTTTCCCTTTCCCTTTCCTATATCTTGTAACATCCTTTTGTCAAATGTTGTAGCCTGTAGTGAGGTTTGTCTTAGGGGGTACAGAAGTTAGGGTTTGTTATATGTACCCCAACCAACATCAATGCATCATTCATTCCTCATTTTGACATGGTATCAGAGCGAAGGTCTCGGGTTCGAATCCCGGTGTGTGCACCTCGGGCATCCCAGTGCGGGGGGGTGTCAGAGGTTCACTGGAGATCCCTGATTGATCCTAGGGAAGGGTTACAGGCACGACGGCCTGGGGGTTATGGGCGCACTCACCCGCTACACAAACAAGCCCTTTTATCCCAGTGGTTAGTGACTGGGATTCTGACATGGTATCAGATAGGTTAGGATCCTGTGGGATCCCGTTCCTCCGTTCTCCGTTCGTATCTCCCGAGCCTGATCCTACCTCTCGTTCGTACCGGTTCCGTTGTTACCGCGCCTAGTGCCGAGCCTAGCGCCCTTTCCCCCCGTTGCCTAGCGCCCTTTCCCCCTCGTCGCGTCCCTTTCCCCCCGTCGCGTCGCGCCCTTTCCCCCCGTCGCGTCGCGCCCTTTCCCCCCGTCGCGTCGCGCCCTTTCCCCCCGTCGCGTCGCGCCCTTTCCCCCCGTCGCGTCGCGCCCTTTCCCCCCGTCGCGTCGCGCCCTTTCCCCCCACGTCGTGTCGCGCCCGTTCCCCCCGTCGCGTCGTGCCCGCCCTTTCCCCTCGTCCGTCGCCCTTCCCCGTCGCGTCGCCCTACCCCGTCGCCTCGCCCTGCCCCGTCCCGTCGCCCTGCCCCGTCCCGTCGCCCTGCCCCGTCGCATCGCGCCCGCCCTTTCCCCCGTCCCGTCGCCCTGCCCCGCGCCCGTCGCCGAGCCCTGGCCCGTCGCCCTGCCCTGCGCCCGTCGCCCTACCTTACGCCCTGGCCCGTCGCTCTAGCCCGCTCTTCCGCTGCGACTGAGTCCCTCCCCCCACCTGAACCCTAATTTGCCTCTTACCTCCTGCTGTTACTCGCCTGCTCGTTCGCGTTAGTTCTCGCTATGGCGACTCCGCGAGTTCTTCGTTTCGACGCTGACGGTAGACCTCTTGACTTTTCCGTCTGGCTTCTTCGCGCTCGCCGTCTGTTAGAGAGTCAGGTCCAGGGGGGCGAGACCCTCTGGTCGCACGCTACTGGTGACCTTCCCGAGCCCCCCGAGCCTACCGCTTTAGGTCTGC